AAATGAAATTAATTTTTTTGAAAAAGTTTAAATGAATTTTGTTTCTTTTATTTGAAGTTTTTATTTTCTAATATGTATTTAATTGAAAAATTTCCGAATAATCGAAATTTGGAAAAATTGAATTGTAAACAAGTGGACTTGAAAATCCTCAAAGAACTTTTTCAAAAATTAATTATTACAATTGATTTAAAGAAGAATTTTAGTAAAAAATTCTAGAAAATAATAATTGAATTGAAATGATGAAAATAATTTTGGTCAAGTTACAGTAAAAATATTCTTATAAAATAATGATTACCTATATCACTAGGTCATCTTTAATTATTATAAATTGTTGAATTTCAAAAGGTCGGGTGCAGTTTTTCTAAAATGTATTTTCTAATTTTTCATTTTCTAAAAATTTTTTTTCTAATAAAGGTGAATTTATAAGAAACTTTTTTCTAATGAAGAGGATTTTCTGATTTTCTTTTTTCTAATAAAGGTCATTTTCTAAAAATTTCTTTTTCTTAATAAAAGTAATTTTCAAAAAAATTTTTTTTAACAATATTTGAAATTTCGTTAAAAAATTATAATAAAAAATAGAAATTATGCAAATTTTTTAACAAAATTTTAAAATAATCTAGTTAAAAATCGTAATTAACAAATAAAAATTATAGGAATTTTTTTCCTAAATATATTAAAAAATTTTTTCAAAAACTGTTTTATAAATAAATTAATTTGGGAATATAAAAATGATGCAAATTATTTTTTTTTTCAAAAATAAACAGAATTTTGTTAACAAATTGTGATAAGAAATAGTAATTTTATAAAAAATTTTCTATTCTTTTAAAATCTACTATTTTAATAAAATTGTACACAAACATTTTAATTACTTTCAATAAAAAATTTCACAAGAATTCAATTATTTACAATTTTTTTAAATAAATTTCTTCGCAATTATTCAATTATTTTTATAAATTTTTAATTATTATAAAATTTATATTATTATAAAACTTGAAAAAATCGATCACTCCGAGTCTTCGACTCGGAGCAATCGATATCTTCATGTTTTATAACAATACTTTTATGAATTGTTTAATTTCAAAAATGTTTGAATTTGAAATTTTTGAAAGTCTTAATTCCTATGAAAAAATAATAATATTTAAATATTAATTTAAAAAATAAGTTACTGATGTTTTTGAATAATTTTGCAATTAAAGAATTTCGTAAAAAAAATGTAACAGAACATTTTTTCCTTTATTTTCTATAAAATTTAAAAATTTTCATTTTCAAGTAATTGACAAATAGAAATGAAAAATATTTTTTTCCTTTATTTTTAAAAAACTGAATTTTATTAAAACAATTTTAATTAAGAAATAGAAATTATGTAAATTATTTCCTTATGAAAATTGGAAATTTTCTACAAAAGGTAATATTTTTTTTAGAAATTTTTTAGAAATCAAAATTTTTTAGAAAAACGTTTTTCAGAAAACAGATTTCATTAGAAATCGTTTTTTTTTAGACAAAAAGGATTAGAAAATATTTTTTAGAAAAAGTGGCCACCTACCATTTAATTGATAAAAGACAAGTAAAACCATCGATTTTTAATTCAAATAAATTTAAAAAAGAAAATTTTTTTTTTTTTTTTTATTGATGAATTATTACACAATTTAATTTATGTTCGAAAAAAAATTCATCACAAGACGAGTCAAAAGATTAATTTACATTCGAGAAATAAAAAATTCTGGTACGAAATAATTCATCACACGATTAATTTATGATTAGGAAACAAAAAAACAGAAATAATTCATCTATGACTATGTTTAGACGCATATTTATAATACACATCACACGGAAAAAAAATCCTACTGCACGTATCGCACGTATCAATGAATTCTTTTAGCATTATATAGTAAAAAAATAGAAAGAAAGAAAAAGTATGAAAAAAGAAAAAAAATTGTTCATAATCGTTTGGCTTGTCACAGTCAATATATTGACACTCGACCTGTCCTGTTATATACGATTGCAATATGCAAATGTCACACAGGCGTTTTATAAATTAGGTATTAAATTGTAAAAGGCATTGAAAAGTTAAACGTCGATGCTTTTAACATCAAGAATCGTAAAGCATTTGCTGTCGAATCAAGATTGTAGTTATCGACTGTTCACCTCTCTGTAATTAGTCACGATATTTTTAAAGAAAACACGTGGGTGGCTCAATCGGCAGACGATATGATTATCGGAGACCTTTCAGGTTATAAAGAAATATATAATGCAAGTTTTGCATTTAAACTATACGTCAACTCTCGAATGATTAAGTGTCACGATACAGATTTTTATTATCGCGATTTCTGTTTTTTTTTTTTTTTTTTTTTTTTTTTTTTCAGTGTCGATATAATATAATGTATAGCCCAAATGTGTTACAAATAATTAATGCAGGCTATTATTTATCGGTTTTTTTTTCCTCACCACACGTCATGAATATTAACCCTTTCATTATGTATTGATATACATTGGTAATACCAAATATTATCCTATCGTTATTGATACACATTAGTAATTATTATATGATGCGCCGTATCATTTGGGTGCAAAATATTCAGAGTGTTATTATTATCGTAATTATAGTAATTTGGCACTTGGCTGCAGTGTTAATGTTGAAATTTATTTTCGATTGTTAACTTCATGTACCGCTATGGTTGGGTAAGTAAAATTTTAGGAACATTTATTTTTTCATTATATTCGAGTTTAAAAGTTTATTTTTAGTTTCATTTATTGTGATGGTTCTCAACAATTACAGTTGCAATTATACCGATTATTATAATTGTTAATATTATCATTCATCCTTAATATTATTTATTAAAAAAAAAAAAAAAAAAAAAAAAAAAAATTACTATTATTTAACTGATTAACATTATTTGACAATTTAATGATTATTCATTAATATTATTCTCAAGGGACTCGAAGCAGTTAAAGAATTAAAAAATACGGACTTTCAAGACCAAAAATTAAAAATTACGAATTGTAAAATTAGGTCGAAAAGATCAATAACTTCTTTTTTAAATAAATATTCAATCATTATTATTTTTCCAGAGAAATTAAGATTTTCAAAAATTTCACATTCATTTTTACATCAATTTTTAATAGAAAATTCTACAAGATTTCAATTATTTAAATAGAAAAATAAATAATTTATTGAATAACTAAATGTTTCTTGAAATTGAATTCTCGTGAAGAATTTTATCAACGACTTTTTAAATAACTGAATTCTTTCGACGAATTTTATTCAAAATTTAAAGAATTATTACCTTTTTCGAGAAATTCCCCTTATGAAAAAAGAGTACTGGAATGAGTATTGGAAAGAGTACTGGAATGAGTATTGGGAAAAGTACTGGAATGAGTACTGGTTTGAGTATTGGTTCGAGTATTGGAAATCCAGTACTTTTTTCGCCTTATGGAAAATCTGTTACGAATAACATATGTAGCAGATATTGTGACCCATTGTTAAAATTTTAGCATTAAAGAATCTTTGGAAAATACGTGAAAAGTTTTGAGCATTAACTCTAACAGATTTCTCTCCGTACACTAATAAAAAAAATTTCAGAAATTTGGTAAAAACATTATATTGAACTTTTTTGCGGTTTATGCAATGAAATAAATTGATGTGAAGTAATTAATATAATTTATTATTAATTAAAATGAAAATAATATTTGACGAAAGTACATATAAACTGTTTTCATTTATAAATTTTACTTTCTTTTTCTTGAAGAAGCATTATTTAATTTTTTACGTAGCGCTGAGTGAAATAAAATGTGGTTATCATGCGTGTCACCAAATATTGAAAGGACATAATCTGTAAATAAAAACCATAATTAGCAAATATTTCCCAAACAGAACGTTATTTTAAAGTGATATCACAGTAATCTTAAATTTTTCGCCTTATGGTGGAAGTATTGTAATATTACATTCTTACCTAACATGCCCTTAACACGAATTGGACAAAGTTGTTTTTTTGGTACAGCATCCGTTTTCTTCTGAAAGTTTGAAACTGTTCCAGTCAAACTACTCTCTTTAAGTTCTTCTTTATCGAACACTACATTGCATATTTCCGACGTAAATTTTGATACACTCGCTCTATTACAACATGCCAATCTGTTGTAACTACACTCTCTTCCACCAATATTAATAACTTTATCCTACAAAAATTCAGTAAATTATTAGAAATATTTTTATTTAAAAAATTAAAAAATTTTAATAATAAAAAAGTGTTATAAAGTAAAAAGTAACTTTTACCATTTACAATATAAAACCAAAACTGACTGAAACTTCTACGCACTTTTATAATAAAAATTGCCAAAAATGCACAGAATTTTTCTGTTAAAAGAATAAACAATATTACATAATTTTGCAACAGATAAATTTTATTATAAAATATGACTAAAACTTACTTTGTGCTTTAGTGACGATTTTTGAGCTTTTAATATCTTTGGCTCATTTACAGCCAACGATTCTTTAGACAGCTGTTGCTCCTTTGCATCAGGAATTTTAGGTATAACTTGTAAGACACCATCAAATAATACTTCAGTAGGCAGGATTTCCGACTATAATATAAATATAATATTATTAGGACTGTTACTGTACAAATAAAATATATATAAAAATTGAACTCGACTGCGATGACATACCTTTTTATTTGAATCACGTCTTTGATCATTACCATTAGGAAACATTTTATCACCTGAAAGCTCTGTGGATGTTGTCGCTTGTGTTTTTAACTGAAACTAATAATTTTAATACCGCTGTTAGTATTGAAAGTAGTTTATTTACTATCAAATAGAATTGAAACTGCTTCGAAGAAATAAGAGTATAGCTTTTTAATGTACATAATAGCAACACACCTCATTATTCAAATTAGTAAGATCCACCGATGAATTTATTAGTACCGTGTCATAATGACCAAGGTCGGAGGATGTTGCTTCTTGTGCTATTAGTTCCGTGTCTTGGTGATAAATGACGGAAGATGTTGACGCTTGTGGTATTAGGCTCTTGAGTTTGAATTTTCTTCCTCTATAAGTTTAAATTTTTTTCTTAACAATTCTACGCTATTGTCAGAAGATTCACTAGAAGTCGACTTATCCGAATCGGAGGACAGTTCGTCATCACTTATCTGTCAAGGAAAAAAAAATTTTATTCGAATTACATTTTGGTAGATCTTTTCAAAATATGCGGAAAATTGGAAAATTCATCTAACAAGAAAAGTTAAAGAAAAAAATGAAAACTATATATCCAATTTTGACTACTCCAACTGAATTAAGATTGTATAACTTTTATATATTTTACAGGAAATCAAAAACTAGTAAATCAAATTACATTTTCCAAAATGTGTTCTAAGATTGAAAACAGCACAAATTGAATAATTTAGCTCTTTAAAATAATTTTCACTAAATAAACTATGCAAAACTGATAACTCACTGTTGTTCCTCTTGATTTAGCGACTTCCAATTTCTTAATAAAATCATCCTTTCTGATATTAGTAACTTTTTTCAAATTGACTTTTTTTCCCTTTTTTGAAATCTAAAATTAATTAAATATGTTAATTTGATCAATATTTGAATTTCTAGTGGAAAATTTATATTTTACAAACCTCTTTATTTCTTTTCATTCCTTGTTCATTTTTTTTACCACTGTGTACATTTCTGTTTTTTAGAAGTTTTCTTGTGCTTTTTGTTGAATCGAGAACATTCAAGTCTACGAGCGTTTTTGCTTTCTCGCACATTTCAGTCCAACCTAAAATTTGAAATAAAAATGTATTACAAAAAGAAAAATATTTCATTCTCATGTTTACAGGGTTATTTTTATTCAAGTTCTAAGATACTATTAAATATTATCAAAATAGTCATTTCTACAAGAATATTAATATAATCATTACTTATTTAGATATTTTTAAAAAGAACTATGTTATGAAATATCATTTTCAGTTCTGTAAATTTACACGATTGTGTATTTCTAACCTCAAAATAATTATTATCTTACTGAATGCAGTAAAATTACATAATTATTTAAAAAATTTCATTACAGAACCGTGTAATTTTACAATTTCAACTGCAAAATTCAATACCTCTCTTCTACAGCGTATATATAAAAAAAATGTTTTGTTGTCTGAAATACTTATTAAATTTCAAAAAAGAAAAGTCATTTTTACTACTATTTAGTTAAAATATTTTTACTTACTGCCCGCAGCAAGAATTATAGCAACACATTTTTTCCAATTACACGATTCAACTTTTTTCTTCATTTTAGACGCTGGCTCAATATCACAATCAGGCCATTTAATTAAGGTATCAATTCCCATTTCAATTGCATGTGACAATTTCTGCTCACTTAGTGGAATAAGAATCCATTCTTGAAAACCAACTGCGATTGAACAATTTTCATTCACGAACTCTAACAACAAACACTTTGAATCATCCATCGTATTACACTATTGCCATACACTGCATGTACACCACGTGCGTTTGATTTCAAATTTTCACATTTATGACTGCACATGCGTTGTATCTCTCTGCGCAGTGCGCATTAATGCGTATGTTAGTTATTATTGTGTTAGTATTAAACACTGACACAGTTTGTATGCGCGCGCCGAATGTTTTTACCTGGCTAATGACTGTTATAATTAGCAGTCGAATATTTTTGAAAATATTGAAATGTGATTTAGTGAAAAAAGTTATCAAGTCACAAATTATAAAATTCATTTAATTTTTTGATGTTGTCAACACATTAGAACTTTTCTATATAAAACAGTAAGTAATTTATTTCTATTTTTAATAATCCACCTGGGATTCCTAACCTCACTTCATGCATGCAATTCGTATAACTATAATAATAGTTATATTTCAATAATATAGTAATTCCAATGAAATGGTTAACAGAGAATGGATGAAGATGGATATAAACGATATTTACGTGAAGACACGGGGACAATACCAAAATCAACACAACGTTCGAGAGAAAAAATTTTGGTTGCACGTGCAGAGCACACACGTACTTTGCAAGCTAATTATCAAGAAATATCAAGCAATTCTAGTGAAAGTGAGGTAATGTATTTAATATATATGAGGTAATATATTTATTATTACATGAATATATTAAATTTTTTTATTATAATAATTATTAAAATTTTAAAAATGCACATCGAAAAAAATTTACTGTGATAATGAGACATTTTTTAAATATAAATAATATGCAGAACTTGAGCATTTTTGAGGGTCTCGATCAAAGCACCGGTTATAATTATTTGACGTTACAATTAGTTGGCCATTGAGTCGAAAACTTTTTTTCAATGTTCGATTGATAAGGCAAACGAAAATGAATTATAATAAAAATTGAAAAAGTTATTAATTATTTTCTAAACTGATACAAAATGATTGACTTCCAAACTTCCATCGCTTCATTTATCTGAAAAATTTTTACCACAAATGAAACAATTTTTCTCAAAGAGAAAAAAGATGCATAATTAAATATTCTATGGAAATATGCTTTTTAAAAAATTGAAATTAAAGAAAAGAATTTTTTCAACCCAGAGGCAAACTAATTCTATCGTGAAAGAATTATAGCCGGTTTTTCGATCGGGGACCTTAAAAAATATGTCTTTTAAGTTGTGTGATAATTTTTCATATTTTAACAAGAAAAATATTTATATAATTATTTTATAATCTGAACTTTTAATGTCTTCTAAAAAAATATTTTTTGAGTACTGAATGTTTATACCATTTTTTTATTATGAACTAGAGCTACAAATGCACTCTCATCTTATCTGGATATTATTTATTTCTTTGTTTAAAATTTAATACTTTCAACAGGAGGAGAGCAGTAATAATGGTGACTTTTCACATTTGGAAAAAAATGAAAGCTATTTGCATGCAATGGAAGAGGATATTAATTTTCCAGAACAAATGGAAGAGGAAAATAGCAGCATTGAACAACGAATGGAGGAAGAATCTTCAGACGAAAATAAAAATATTTCTAACGTTTCTGAAGAACGTGATGAATTAGAAACAGAAGATCTGCAAGCTGATAATGAATCAAAAGATAGTGAATCTGGTGGTTCCGAAAGTTCATTTACAGAAGAAATGGAGAGCGATATCTCTGATTCTGAAGATGATGAAATGTTTTCTGTGTATAATAGTGAGAATGATTTTAACGACTCGGAAGGAAGTCTTAATATAGATGTCCAGGTATGCTAAAAATATATGTAAAATTGTCAACTTTCTTATATACACTTGAAAGAATATTCAGGTTTTAAAATAATATATAATGTATTTTTTTATAGGAAAGAAATGTGATTCATGATAACTGCGACCTCACATATGAAGAATCTCATCTATTAATTTTGGCACAAGCTCTTCGTAATAATTTATCGGATGTTGCTTTAGAAAGTTCTATTAACCTAGTAGATTGTCACCTACCATACGCCGTACATCGCAGCAAGTACAATTTTTTGAAATCTTGTCCTGAGCCAAACGTGATTACATACTATTATTGTCCACAATGTTCAATCACTATTAATTTTGAAAATATAAATCGAGCAGAATGCGATGGATGCGGAGTACAGCACAATAAGTCAACTTTAAAAAAAGATATGAATTATTTTTTTTACTTACCTTTGGAGCCGCAGTTAAAGCGTTTACTTAATAGCAAGCATTTTCTAAATTTTCGAAAAGAGTGCAACGAAAGTGATGTTATAAAAGGTAAAGAATATCGTCGATTAGTTGAAAAAAAACGTTATTTCTGAAAATGATATAACTATTCAATGGAATAGTGATGGAGTAAGTGTCTCTAAATCTTCGATCAAATCTATTTGGCCAATTTTGGTTATGGTCAATGAATTGCCTTACCGATTGCGAAAAAATAATATGCTTCTGTGCGGATTATGGTTTGGCACAAAACCGCAAATGAACCTTTTTCTCCGACCATTTGTAGATGAGCTTATTGAATTGCATGATAATGGTTTTAAATCGACGACATTTGTTTGTAAAGATCCTGTAGTAATAAAAGTGCATACTCTTCTTTCTCCAGTAGATTCAAGCGCGCGCTCAAAAATACTAAATTACATGCAATATAATGGAGAGTTCGGCTGCCCTTATTGTCTTAAGAAGGGTGAAAGAATACCTGTAGGAGCTGGATATGCACGTGTTTTTTGCGGATGTATTGAAAAATTGCGAACATTAGCCCAACACAATAAAGATGCTAAAAAAGCAGATGGGAAGGTGCCAGTTCGAGGTGTAAAAGGGTACTGTGTTGTTAGCCTTATACCTTTGTTTAACGTTGTTAAATGTTTTCCACCAGAATATCTACATTCTGTATTAGAAGGAGTTACCAAATTAATTGTAAGCACTCTATTTAATTCTGCGAATTTTAAGGAGGAATGGTATTTGGGCAAAAAAATTAAAGACATTGATGATAAATTAACTAACACAAAGCCTCCATCTGAGATTACAAGAACACCACGTTCCTTAAATCACCTTGACAAATGGAAAGGTTCGGAATGGAAAAGTTTCCTTTTATATTACTCATTGGTATGTTTTGAGAATTATTTACCTGCTAAGTATTTAAAACATTGGTTTCTTTTTGTTTATTCAATTACAATTTTTTCCAAACAAGAAATAAATGAAATTGAATATACAAAAGCTAGTGAAGCACTCAAAAAATTTGTTTTGGAAATAGAGAATCTGTACGGGAAAGAATATATGAAATTCAACGTTCATATTTTACTGCATATTCCACCAGCTGTACGGAGTTTTGGTGCTCTTTGGGCGTGGTCAACATTCCCTTTTGAACATTATAACGGAGTTTTGAAAAAATTATTTCATGGTACTCAGTACATTCCGGAACAAATTTGTAAGTTCTATACAAGACTCTCCTTCATAAACTCATCATCAGACATTTTTTCTAGAGAAGATTGTAACAAGAGAGGCAAAAAGTTATTTCGTTCATTGATGAAAGAGTGTGGCGTTAAGAGGTGTATTCAATACGATGATTTCTTAAGAATATTTGGTGCTTCAAAAGATTTAAGTTTAACTTTAATTGAAAAAATCGTTATTGAAGAAACTCTTCAAGAAACAATTGAAGTAAAAGCTCAATCATTTGAACGTTTTATTTTTAAACATGTGTTATATCATTCTTTCAATAGTCGTAGAGTAATTAAAAGAAATAATGGGACAATTGAAACAGACGATGGACGATTTATGATTATTTCTCACCTTCTCATAGTAAAACTCGCTCGAAATGGGGAAAATAGACATATTCTTTTGGGAAACGAATTACAAAAAGAAAATAGAATTTTGTGCTTCAATGGAAACTTTTCTTCCAATGACTTTTCGTATATTGTAAAAAAAACAAATAATATCATTTCCTGTTCTCTTTCATCAATTAAAAAAAAATGTGTAAATGTACAAATGACCGAAACCATGAGTAGCATCGTACCACTTGTAAACCACATTGAAACCGATTGAAATAAAAATATAATTATACAAGATTAACGAACGATATTGTTAATGCCAGTCTTAATTTAAGCTCAGCTTGTGTGAAAATAAGAATAAGAAATCTGAATTTACAGATTATGTGTTATAAAGGCGAAAAAAGTACTGGATTTCCAATACTCGAACCAATACTCAAACCAGTACTCATTCCAGTACTTTTCCCAATACTCATTCCAGTACTCTTTCCAATACTCATTCCAGTACTCTTTTTTCATAAGGGTCGATTAAAATTGTATTAAAAATTTTTGAATAATTGAAATTCTACATTGAATTTCATTATTTATGAAAATAATTGAATTCTTGCGAAGAATTTTATTAAAATTTTCAAAAATAATTAAATTCTTGTAAAAAATTAACAGGATCTCAATTTATTTTTTTTTAAATTTTAATAAAATTTTTCGCATAAATTAAAAATAACAAAATTCTTAGCAGATATTCAATTACTTTAAGAAATTTTAATAAAAATTTTTCGCAAGAATTTAAATATTTTCGTAAAATAATAAAAATCTTTGCAGAGATTCAATTATTTTCAAAAGTCTTAATAAAATTTTTCCCAAGAATTCAATTATTTTCAAAAATATCAGAATTTTAGCAGACATTCAAACATTTTAAAAAGTTTTGATAAAATTTTTTGTGGTAGAAATTCAATTATTTTTAAGACAATTTTAAAAAATGTCTCGATAAAATTCAATTATTTTTAAAATTTTAATGAAATTCTTCGAAGGAATTCAATTATTATAATCTAAGATTTTAACTGAAATCTACATTTAAAACAATGTTTATAAGAAAATTCAACCAGAATTCAATTATTTAAATACAAAAATAAATAATTTATTGAATAATTGAATGTTTCTTGGAATTCAATTCCTATTAAAAATTTTATTAACATATTTTTAAATAATTAAATTCTTTGGATGAAGTTTTATAAAATTTTTAAAAATTTTTTCGATGAATTTGATTAA